GACTAGGCATCCTGAGTTTTATCTGCCAACCCTATCTTTAATGCTTACCCATACTTGGAAGGAAATTTCTCCCTGAGGGTGTGGTACTCCCCACCCCTTTACTAGCTCTAAGATGAAGACTGAGTTTCAGAAATGGGCTGTAACTCACCCTGGAGCAGTTGGAGGCTCAAATATTGGGGAGTTTAACAAGTTTATAAATTTTCAGGGAGGCGAATTCGATGGTATTTTTGAGTTTCAGGGCCTACCAAGACTTTGACAGAAAAGTGACTAGGCTTTGAGAGAGTGGTAAAGTTTCAAACTCACCATTGAGCTGTCAGAGAAAACATCAGGGTGGTTCTCATAAATAAATTTCTCCACCCTCATCTGCCGCAGTTTGAACATCTTGGAGCCCCGGTTAGTGAGCAGCGACAGCTCTTCCAACATCACATCCCTTGGGACACTGATCTTCTTGCCCAGGTTCAGGCCTGAGCTCTCCTGTCCACCTTTCAGGGAGGTGGGGAGGAAGAGGCAATGGAAAGAGAAAAGTAGGGTTTTCTGGACCCAGAATGCAGATCCCACCTGCAACTAAGCATGTGTGTCCTGGCAGATATCACTTAGGGGAGCAGGTACTGTCTGTACTGTCTGACTAAACTCTCTCTAAAAGCTTGTGATGGATTTTGATTTCCTCGATTTGGAGTTGGAGAGAATGCATGGGGACTGGGGTGCAGAATGGAGACAGGACACTAGAGTGGAGAGGTGAGTGGGGTAACAGTGACATGGGCCTGGGGTACAGGGCAAAAGGAGTAAAGAAACATCATAGACAGAGGCTATTGGAGAAACTATGGTGAGGGAAAGCCATAGAGCAATCTTGTGTGGAGTTGGCCACTTCTTAATATGGACTCCTGTCTTAACTCCTTTCCCTTTTCTTCCTCTAAGTGAACTCTGGCTCCAGAGAGCCTCTAGGTATTGAGAGAGTTCTTCACATTCATGCACTCCTGTCTACCCTCAGGAAACAAAACACGCCTATGCAGTTTGCCATTTTAAGTGCTTACACAGGCTCCCTAGCTCTGGGAAAGAAGTAAAGAAATTAACCACTTATTGAGACCTTAGTCTGTGCCAGTCTCCATCATATTTTCTTCCTCAAACATACCTCACTGACGTAGATTCTGTGGTCCTGGACCTGTGCTGGGTAATATGGCAGGGTATTGTTTCAGATTACAAGGTGAAAAGGGTGGAAAGATGAGTAGTCAGCATTGAATCCTTTCTCCCTCTTTCTCCCTGCCCTTTTTAACCACCCCCAACTTCTGCCGCTGGAATTCCTCTCATTTGTTCACCCAAAGATATATATAACTTTATGATATTTCTACGACTTGGGGGTCAGGGATGCTCTTAATAAAAAGTTCCACACTAAGTAGATGCAAAGATGCCCTACCTCCAGTGAGTTCCATGATCAGCTTGCTGGATTTCCTCTTCTTGTTAGGGGCCGGGGTTCCTGAGAGTGGCATTGTAGAGGTGGATTCAACCTGGATAGGGTGGGAAGGGGAATGGACAGGAAAGAGTGAGTCTGCAGTAGGGCAGTACTTCTGAACCTGGGGTTAAGGGCTTCAGAGGACAAAATTTCAACAGATTTTCAAAGAAATATTTATTCCCCCAAAACATGAAAACCCACTGCTTTAAGCTTCTGTTTTCTTGGGGACAGGGCAGGAAGTATAGATGCACTGCCTGCCCTTATCTTCTACAAACCTCTTGTGAGCTGTTTCACATACAGCTGATGCAGAGATTAGGAACATAGCTGGGGGTGGGGGATGTTTAAAAAACAACTGCAGACAGGGCAGTGCACCCAGGTTTCATTGGCTTGGCATGATTTGAAGCTTTTATTTGCATAGGGATATCAGACTGGGGCTATGATTCCAGGCTCTGGTCTCTCCTCAGTCTTTCCCCAAGTCCCAGGGGGCCAGAGAAATGTTCTGCCAGAGCTGAGGAGATTCAGCCAAAAACTTCTCCATAGGAAGGAGAGGTTGTTGCTTCTCCATTGGGCCAGCTGGAACATGGCCTGGGAGGTCATGGCTGTGCTCGCTGCTCCTTCATCACTCCCGCCCCAGACCTCAGAGCTGGTGTGGAGAGGGGGACCAGGGGCATTTGCACCCTGACATATGTCATTTCAGCAGTATCACAGCAGAGGAGAATTGAGGGAGAACAGGAACATAGTAATAGGATCTGGCAGTGGTGGGAGACAATCTGGGAAGATACAGACTCCAGCCCCTCCTTAACAGAAGTTGGCACTCAGTAAAATGGTGTCTTCTGCTGAGTCCTGTCTCAAAAATGCACCTGCAACTCTACTAACTTAGTGGGGTATCAGACCCCCTTCTCATTCCTCCAGTGCTTCCCCTAACATTTCCACTCTCCCCAACTCCTGTGCCCCAATCCTTCCAACTCTCTGTGGCTCCCCTAAACTGGACAGCTGGGAGCTAAGCATAGATGGGGAGAATCAAGAATCACAATTGTAGACACAGACACAAAAGTCAACATAGTAGACTCCAGCCCTTCTAGCCATAGAGATGGAGACTTACCGGCTGCTCAGGTGGTGGTCACCTCTCCTGGGGTCCAGCAGCTTTGGAGGACTGAGCTGCTGTGACCGGAGAACATGAGCTGGGCAGGCGTGGGGGCAGCACGGGCAGTGGGGGAGGGAGGCTGGTTATTAATAGAGATGATGAGTGCAAGCAGCTCAAATGGCACAGGGGGTACCGAGACCCTGTAACCAAGATCCCGCCCTGCTTGCGCAGAGGCTCAGGAAGGGGAGAAAAGGCCTGTGTGATTCTCCCACTGTCTGAGCCACGGATCAGTCTGCCCAGGGACACCCCTTCCCTTTCCACCAGAGTCTGAGACCCAAAGAAGCATTCGGGGAGAAATTCAACACTGAGGGAGAGAGGAAGCAGGCAGCAAGTGGTGGACAGGAATTCAGAGTGGGAGAGAGAACCTGGAGAAAATGACCTGAGGGCCACTGAGAGCCAGAGCTGGAGGGACCTGTGGGTATATTTGTGGGTGGGAGGGCTTAAAGCACTATGTTCATGGAAGGGAAGTCTTCACAATGAAAATGCTCTTTTAAAGTTCCTGGATGCATTGATCTCTTCTCTGTGAGGGCCGGATCTTGGTAAGATAAGGAGCCAAATTAACCAAAATCAGTGCTTCCTAGGCAGTCAGGGATGACTGGGGAAAACCAATTATTCTGCCCACCCCACTCCCTTTTCTTTGCTCTTAAACTCTGGCAATTCTAAGAACAGGTGAACACTTACATCTGCCTTTTAACCCCCATTTGCTGTTGGGATGCTCAGTTCAGCCTGCTGTGCAGGATAGACGTTGATGTCTCCCTGAGAAGCACATGTAGGCCTGTGACCTGCCAGGGCCTTCCTCTCTGAGTTTCATATTTGGGATTTCCTTCAAAGGGAGCACACACCCAATAGGATCTAGACTGCCTAATTTGTATTGTTCCAAAGGAGCCTCTGGGCAGGGGCATAAGCTCAAGGGTCTCCTTCGAAGAAGCCCATCATTTGCCCAGCCCTTCTTCAGTAGCTGCATGAACATCCTGGATCCTCCTCTACCTTCTGCTCAGGTTCTAGAACCAGCTGCTGCAGCACCTCTGCTGCAGCCACCACCACCCTGTTGCAGCTGCCTTAGGAAGTGGCTTTTGTAGCTTCCAGAATATCCCCCTGTCCCTCTGTGAGCTCTCCACTCTTACTGACCATGCTCCTTCCATCCTGTATGAGTACTTTTCAGGTTCGCTAGGGGATGAAAGGCACCCCCACCCCCCACCCCACCAGCAGATGGCCTGTGCCTCCAGACCCCTTATCTTTTGTCCTTCTCTACTCCCTCCCAAGCCAAGGAAGCAATTAGAAGAAACAAATAGCAAAAGGTGATTTCATCATCTGTACTACCTTCCCCTCAAAAACAAAAACAAACTGAAAGTCTGATCTCCTAGGATTGCGTACCTAAATTACTGAGTGGGTGAAAAAAGGCTATTCTATATAGCCTAGAGTCTCTGGGCCCTTCCGTTGGAATTCTCAGAGACAGTGTACTTGGGAGCATTTGAGTCCTGGATCTGGTTATTGGCACAAATATGCCCTCTGCTGGTAAAATTGGAGCAATGGCACTTTCCTTCTCAGAAGCCTGCCTCCAGTGGCTTCCCTTCTGTTAGTCTCAACCCATTCTGATCCACCTTTCTCACCTTCTTCCCTCTCCCATCCCACCTTTACCTCCAGCCATTGCTTTCCCTTCATTTAATTCTCAGAGAGTGTTTAACATAGTTGCTTCCCCCAGGAAGCTAGGAAATGTTGATGGCAAATGGCTCAGAAGGCCTTTCCAGCTTCTCTCAGTTCTGTAAGTAGAGACCTTGCCTGGAAAGTATGGAGTAGGATAAAGAAAGGGAGAGACCCTGGATGGCAATTGTGGGGAAAGGGAACCAAGAGGAGTGGTGGAGGTGGCTAAATCAGAGCAGGACAGAATTGTAGAAAAGAGCAAAAGACCTGGGGATAAAGGGCAAAAGGGTGAAAAATGAAAGGGCAGGAATGGAGACAGAGATTAGGAACCAGATCGGGGGAATGGGCTAGAGAAAATGAAGGAGAGATCAGGATTTGGGTATAAAACTAGAAGATCCCACTGCTGGGTACACTCCCAAAGGAATAGAAATCATCATGTTGAAGGGACACCTGTACTCCCATGTTTATTGCATCTGTATTTACTATAGCCAAGAGTTGGAACCAACCTAAATGTCCATTATGGATGAGTGCATAAGGAAAATGTGGTATATTTATACAATGGAATACCATTGCCATAAAAAAGAATGAAGTACTGCCATTTGCAGCAACATGGATGAACTTAGAAAAAATTATGTTAAGTGAAATAAGCCAGGCACAGAGAGAGAAAGACCGCATATCCTCACTTACATGTGGGAGATAATAAAAAAATTAATAAGCAAATAAAAAGAAAGAAGGATACAAAAAAACCTAGAAGAGATGACAGAAACAGAAGGTATAGGGCATAAGTTTATTCTTGTGCACAAACCAAAGAACTGTGACTCACACCCAATATGCAAAGGGAATTATCACTTTCCAGATCAAAGAGCAAATGTGGCTGGTGGTTGTCTTGGTGAGAGAGGAGTTAGTACCCTTCTAGGATCAGAGATCAGGACCTGAAGCTGAAAAGGAACAGTGCTAGAGTTTTGAGGGATGGGGTATGACTGAAAAGAGGTTTTGGCTTTGGGTTGTTTCCTTGCCTTTTACCAGGTAGTCATGACAAACTGCAGAAGACAAACTGAAGGACAAACTCAGAGGAGGTTGTACAGAGACCAGCTGTTCTTTCAACATTCAACACATACCCTCACGTTTCCTTCCCATCATCCCCCTTCACGCTAACAAATACATTCTTCTCCCTCAAATTTGTCCCCAATCCCCCTCTTGCACACAGTCGGTTTCTTGTTACCTGACTTTACTCTCTGCCAGGACTGCACTGCTGCTCACCATGCTCCTCTCTGTGGCACAGTCACTTCCACTCATTATTGCCCTGCTCCCGGTGTTTGCCTCATTCTCCACACCCAGGCTCTCTTCTCCCTCCTTTCTGTCTTAGGCTCATGAGGCAATGAAGCCAACAATTTGTTCATTCTCAGAGGAATTTTTTTTCTTTTTTTCACTTCCTGGATACTGGCTTACTCAGCATGGGCCTCTCTAGTTGCTAACATTCTGAAATCCTGAGGAATGGGAGAATTCTTGGTTCTATTCCTGGCCTAGCTGGTATAACTCAGCCCATGTAAACTGTTCCAGTCCTTCAGTCTTCTCATACTCCATTAGTTTCACAAGCTGCTGTACTCTTGCTACAGATGCTGGTCTCTAAGGAGTTACTCTCTAGTGAATCTCTTTCACCCTGCTAGACTCCCTGTGGGGATATCTGACCCTTCTATCAGTGCAAGGATAAGACCCTGATTGGGTCTTTATTTAGACTTCTCTTACATTTGCCTCAAACAGAAGAGCACATCTGTGCACACACATACACCCTTACGTATATGCCAGCCAAGCTTGGTAAAGCAGTGAAGAGTAGGGAGGGGCTTGGTGCAAACAGGTTAGTTCAGGCCCATTGCTGTGTGCCTGCTGGTGAGCTTCTTGCCTGAGGCCCCAGTGGTAACTTCTACTCTGTTTCTCACTGCACATTAAAATGAGGCCCACAGAGAAAAGCGCAAATGTAAAGAAGAGACCTGTGGAGGAGTATGGGCAGAGAGTCCTGGAGATAAAGACAAAGATCCAGGCAAAGAAATACAGAGGCAAAGAGAAGCAAAAATACCAAAGCAGAGATAGCAGGCTGGAAAACAGCAGGGAGGTGGGGAGTAAGGAAGCTGGGGGATAGGACTCCAACTCCAAAATCATCTCTGGCAGGAGGGAATTTAGCCTCTAGATGCCTGAGAGAGAGGGGAGGATAGAATAGGAGAAGCAACTTTAGGAACTTGATGTTCCACCCCTCCTTGGTCCTGGGACCTGTGCCCTGCTCACTGGTGCCCTGCCCCAGGCCTCCACACGTGAGCCTGCAATCCTGTTTTAGTGGCTGAGAATCGGGGCCTGGCTACCTGGAAACCACAGGAGCTGGGGGAGGCCCCAGGGCCCCTGGGAGATTCTGGAGGAGGGGCTGGGCTAGAAACAGGGGCTGAGGCCAGCTCTACCCTCCAGATGGGCTCATCCAGTGTAGTGGCTGCTCGAGGGACAAGGACAGTGGTAGCCAGGGGCTCTGCAGTAGGCTGGGGTCCTGGAGTGGAAAATCGGCGGATCTCCTGAACTCGGACAGTTTTGGGGGGCCCTAAGGAAGTGGGGCCAGGAGTTGGGGGAACCTCATCAAAACAGAACATGGCACTTTTAAGTTGGTAGGGCTGATGCCGCATGAAATCCAGAGCCTTGATGCCCTGCGTGGGGGTTGCCCGAGGCCCCTTTGATTGGGCCTTATTAGGGAGAGTGCGGGCAGCCTGGGGGAAAAAGGGTGAAAGTAACGGGTTGTAAGCAATGGGAGGTGGGGCACGGATGTTGGGTGAATATTTCCAGGAAGGCGGCAGTGAAGGAGTAGGGGAAGGACTTCTGGGCTGAGGGCCAAGGCCAGTACCAGGTGTAGCTTCCACCACATACCTGTCCGCACGACTCTGCCGCTTGGCAAACAGCTCCCCACCCCTGCCCTGAAGCCTTGGTGGCTCGGGTATTCCAACCGAAGAGGCTACCCCATTCACTAGCCCATCAAGGAGCCCTCGAGAAGGGGGCTTAGGAGCCACTGGGGGTGGAGTCTTAGGAGTCATAGGGGGCGGGGTCTTGGGAGCCACTGGAGGCGGGGTTTTAGGTGTCACGTGAGGCAGGGTCTTGTAACTCCTGCCCCCTGGTGGCTGCATGAAATTGCAGGCTTCAGCCCCGAGACTCAGAGCGTCCTCCTCAGGACCGGATTCAGCACCCCCGGCCCGGGGTTTTTCATCCAGGGTCTGCACTAGCGAGAGCAGCTCGGGGTTGGGCGAGTTCTTCGGCTCCTCTTTTCCCGGACGGAACATCTGCTTCCGGGTGCCCCGGCGCCGGGCCTCCTGCAGGATGCCCGTGCGGGCAGCTGGCACGGAGATGCGCTGCTCCCGAGCGCTGGGGGGCTCAGGGGCCGCGGGGCCTGGGGCGGGCCCCTCTGGGCGCGCAGAGTGTCGCAGAGGAGCCGAAAGGAAGATAGATGCGGTGGAGGTCATGGCCGCTGCGTTAGGGGGAGCGGGGGGCTCTGGGGCTCCGCCTGGGGTAACAGGCCGACTTGGGGCTGGGATATACAGAGAACTGGTGGCCGTCACAGGCCCGGAGGGACGTGGGGTGCTGGGGGGACCGGAGGCTGGCACATGGCTGGGAACCCCTGAGGTGAAGCTGGGCAGCGGGGTAGGCCCCTGCGGAGAGGTCGAGAAGGGGGGTGGGGCGGGACTGAGGCCTCCCAGGCTTTCATTCATCCTCTTGGGGGGTAGAGGCCGGAAAATCACCGAAGTGGTTCCGGGCCGCTGCCCTTGTAAGCCCGGGGTAAAGGGCCTGGCTGACCGGTTAAAAATGCTTGGAGCTGGGGTGGGGCCTCCACCTCCTGGGAGGAATGGTCTGGTGCTGGCTACAGGGGCCGGCAAAGGGCTGGGTGGGAGCACGGCTGCCTCCGGGGGAGCACTCTGGGCCCGAGGTGGGGACTGCAGGCCCTGCCCGTTGAGCACGGCTGGCTGGCCAACCGGAGCCAGCTCCTGGCTGCTGGAGGCTGCGCGCTGGCGCTGCCGTTCAAAGAGCTGAACCCCCCGCCCAGAGACCTCACTGAGCCCGGGGCCCTGGCCCTCTCCTGCGCCTGAGCCCACCCTGGCCAGCTCCATGTCCAGATAGGGGCTGTCCCAGTCGGACTGATTGGTGAGGCTGCGGGCGTCGGAGAAGGCCTCTTCGTCCAGCTCAGACTCACTCGTCGGGGGGACACCGTCTTCCTCCTCAGCGCCTGTCCCAGCCGCAGCCCCGAAGCTCACTAGGGTGTACTTCTTGGCCCTCTGCCGCCGTTTCTTAAACATAAGCACCCCCTTGGAATGGGGATTGGGGGCTGCAGTTAGCAGGGAGGCAATCGTCCGACATTTGGTTTTGGCCTCCTTCACGCTCTTCTCTTGGAGGCTCTCTGCTCCTTGCAGTTCTGAGGAGGCCAAGAGGTAGACTGGTCAGTGGGGATTCCCCAGCCTCTTCTAGTCCTGTTGCCAAAGGTTTCCACTCCCCACCCATCCAGCTCCCTCATGCCTCCCACCTTCTGCCTTTTCACTGGCCCAACCCACAATTTCTCCTGCCTGTGGCAATGTCCTCTGATTTGGGGGCAGAGTGAAGGGTGAAAGGTGAAACCAAGGACAGTTAAAGAGAAGGCAGAGTCCATCCAGTTGGCTCTCCTGACACTGCTCTGACCACAGCTCTTCTTTCTTCTCTTCCCTCTGTTCTGCTCCTATCTTCCCAGAGATGTGCCCTTATCCACCCCACATGCATTCCCCACCTGCCTCCCATTCCTGACTGATAATGGGGGTCGGGGTGTCATTTTCCACGGCTGGCAGGGAGATGAGGCAGGTCCCAGGGAGAGAAAAGATGAAAAGGGACATTGTTCTCCCACCATAGAGACCATGTTGGGAGACTTCTTACAGTTTGGGACTTATCTCCTCTTCCTACCCCTTACCCCTATGATCAGGACACAAAGGACCCTTAGCAATGAAGATCTTCTTTCACAGTTCTACCCCCATCATGCAGTCACTTCATAAACATTCACAGAAATAACCATGAAATAACCACACATCATTTCAACAAGAATATTGGCCTAGTGAAAGCTAGCTGTGGGCATACATTCTCCTAGTATGTGGGCACACTTTTCTCTCTCATTCATGTATATCCCAGCTTACATATACCTCACTTCACATACACATATGTAAATACACATGTGTCCACACAAAAACACACATAGAGTCACTCAAATACATTCACACACCTACACGCTCCAGATAGCCCTTCTTCCCAGACTTCCCCCTGCAGACCGTGTTACTAACAGTTTGGACAGAATTTTAGAGTTGATCTTGGCCTTCCAACTGCCAGGGCACTTCTCTGTGCATCACACCCCTGCTACTCACAGCCAGGGGTAGTCTCAGATCCAAGATGCAGAAAATGCCACAGTGCTGCTCTCCAAGGCGACCCTCCAAATCTCTAGGATACTTCAAGATCACCAGCTAAATTTATTCTCCTTTCCCCCAAGCTGGGGATGGGAGTAGGGTAGGCTTCTTTAGGGGTCAGAGCTGCCTCCTATTTTCCAGGCCTTCCAGGTGGAGAGCTCAGGCAGAGACTACCAGGCAGGCACGCAAGGACCGTGTGTTAGAGGGAACCAGGGCAGGGCTTCCCATGCCATGTGGGGCCAGTGTAGGTGGGGCCAGGAAATGGGAGAGGCTGCCCTGCTGCTAGGACCCCGCCTTGGACATGGATGTTCTCTAGTCCATGGTCTCCAGTTCCTCTGAAAAATTCTTGAAATTCCATCTACTCTCCACTGAAGATACCAAGCTCCTTTCTAATTAGGGCTCTCATTCCTCTCATCCCAACATTTATACCACAAAATAGTACTGTGGATAAGAGAACAGGCAACAGAGTTCAGCTCAAGGTTTTGATTCTTGGGAGAGTTACTTCACCTCATTGAAGTTCAGTTTCCTCATCTGTAAATGAGGATAATAATGGCAACCTCATGGGGTTGCTATGCTGATTAAGTGAGATAATGCAAGTAAATATAGCACTTAATGCAGTGCTAAAGCCCAGTGTGAGTAACCATTACTATCAAAGCTTTCTTGACACTAGCTGCACATGTATACACACACTTCCTTGTTCACACATATCTTCTCCCATAGACACATTTGAGAGATCTTCAAAAAGTTCATGGAGAGATTCATATTACTTTCAATTCTGTTTTTCCATAAACCTGTTGAAGTTCCCTTGTACATGCCTTCCTGTTTTCATAATGTACTCACACCACTCTCACACGGACTCTGTTTCCATGAGTTTTCTACAGCTCATGTGGTCACAGATCCCTTTGACATGTGGCCACGGCATCAACCCATTCTGAGACAGGCGCAGAAAAACTCTCCAGAGAAGATGAAGAGGATAGCAAAAGGAGGAGGAGACGAGAGTAAGACCTTTCCCAAAGACCACCCTACCCAAACTGTTGGGGTATTCCCCTCCATTCTAGATCCCAGAACTCTCTTGGATATGGGAAGGTAGTACCTGCATAGAACGGGCCCTGGAGTTCAGGAACTGGGCCTTGGGCTTTGTCACAGCTGGCTTGGTTGAGAGGCTCTTGGCTGATGGGCTCAAAGGTCTCCATGCCGAGAAAGGCACTGTTGGCTGGAGCAGGACCAGCTTGAGCCACCCCCCACGCCTTTTAAAGCCCCTTTGTCTTGTCCTCAGAGCTGGCAGCTGAATGAGCTCACTGTGCTATATTTGGAGACTGGCCCCCTCCCTTCTCTTGGCTGCCCCATATGCCTCAGTGTGATGGACATGGGCACCTGCTTCCCCTTCCCCCTACCCCACCCCACTGGACAATGAGGTCTGCTTAGCTAAAAATATCCCTGAGTCACTAACTATGGTCTCACTCAGCATGATGGGAAGGGAGGGGGTGCTAAAATGAGAATTAAGGATAAATATGGGATCCTGGGCATGCATCTGGAATTTCTCTGTGGGATATTGGACACTGTCAGGGATGTCACACTCTGTCATGTCCTTAACCTGTATTCCAGACTTAGAGACACAAAATTCTATGGATCAGGAATTAGAATAGTGGAGGAGAGGAAAGAAAGATAAGTAGAGGGAGAATCCCGAGATTTCAGAGGTGAAAAGAAAGATCTTTGTGGGAGGGGCATGGGAGGCACAGGGCAGGGAGAAACTTCACTCTCCGACTTTGTTCTGTAGCTCACATCAAAAATAGCAAAGAGCTTGAGATAAGCGGAACTGACTTTTTCTGCCTGGGCCTACATTCTTGCCTGAGATAAGGAGCCAAAGACCCCTCCCTCTACCACTTCTTAGGGATCTCATGACTATCCCATAGCCTTCCAGTCCCCTGAAATCCTAACTAAACTTACAGACCTCAAAGGTAGCTCTGCTGCTATGCTTGCAATTAATGCTGTAAAGAGCCCCTATAGCCTTACCCCAATTCCAAATACTCCCCTGCCCTGTGTTTGTACTTTACTCTCACCCCATCCCGACACCTAGCAAAACATTAGCAACAACCACTGCCAAACCTTCCATCTATTCATGTCTCTTTCAAACTTCCCTACTTATCCTGTTCTTGGGTTGGGTTGAACCACCTGTACCTTTTTGCCACACTGGTTCAAACAGTGAAAATAATGGAGACCATGAGAATAATTACTCTTCTCTCCCACTCATCACTCTCCTCCACTTGTTCCCAAGACTGAATCTGAGGGACATAAGGTAGGTAGAATGTATAGTTGTGGAGGGAAAGATTTAGGGCTCAGATTGAAGGATCTTGGCAGGGGTAAAGGGGTTCAGGCACTCACTGGCTTGCTTGGCCTTCTGGGCATAGGTGGTAGTAAGATCTTCTGCCACTGGGTGGGGAACAGGCCCCACCATAGGGATGAGATGAGGGCCAGGCCGGAGGGGGCCATGGGGTAACAGCAGGGCCTCGTCTGGGGGTGGCTGAAGGGCTGCCCCATCTTCCCAAGATGGGGAGCTCACACGGCTGTCACCCTGGCTGGGAGGGCCAGGGATAGCAGGTACTGGCTCTGCAGGGCTGTCAGACAGGTAGACCTCATCAGGTGGGGCTCCTGGAGGGATGAGTCTTGTGGGGCCTCGGCGGCGGGGTCGGCGGGGCTTCTCCTGGGTGGCATGGCCTTCAGCATCACTGTCTGTCTCTCCATAGTAAGCCTCACTGTCAGGGGGTGAGCGAAGGCTCACAGGCTGAAGAGACTGGGGAACTGGAGCGCCAGGGGGCTCAGGACTCAGTGGAGATAATGGTGATAGCACGTGAAGCTCACCAGGAGATGGAGATCGCACAGTCCCCTCATCTGCTACCCTGTATGGGAAAGATGACAGAACTTGAGAGATGGGCTGGGTGACTGACAGCTAGAGAGATCGGAGGGTGGGGGGGGAGAGGTAAGGGAGAGAGACGGGACTGGAATACAGTTCAAGTGGCTGGGCTGAGAAGAATGAAGATCTGAAGACAAACTGGGAGGCAAATGTGCTTGGAGGGCTGTGAGTCGAAATGGGCTTAGAGGAAGATGTGATGAGGAGGAGAGAGAGAGGCCAGGGGTTGAAGTAGGCCCATCTCTTAGGTACCCACTTGACACCCCATCCCTTGATTGCAGATACATTCAAGCCCTTTGGGAGTCATATGCAAATATCTATACTCTCAAAGAAATGCACTAGCAGCAATAGGTACAGTACTTGTTAGTTGGCTGAAGCCAGGCCAGTGAGATATGGAGCTGAGACAGGCAATGGGAGCGCTGGACTAGGGAAAGAGCAGGGGAGGGATCCATACCGCCGCACAGTGAGGACAAGCTGATTCACTGAGGCATCGATGAGGTTCATGGCACTGGCATGAGAGAGACTGGTGCAAGAGACCCCATTGATTGCCAAGAGCTGGTCCCTCTCTCGGAGTCCTGCTCTGCCAGCCTGGCTCCGTCTTCGGATCTGAGATTTGGAGGAGAGATTGTAGGTGAGGGAGGGTTTCAAAGGGAATAGAATGAAAGGAAAGGACAGAAAGGACCCATGTGAGGGGATTTTACTTTTCAGGGTAAGAAGGGTGGCAAGGTTCATGGAGCTACAAGGTAAGAAAGATAGCCAGGTTCATGTGTGGAGAGAAGAAGATGCAGATTGGAGGGAGTAATAATACCATATGATGGGAGGTGGGGTGACTACTGAATGAAAGAGGCCTTTAAAAAACTGCATGGGGTTCTATCCTCAAGATTTTCCTCTGAGGGCAATATCTATACTGGCCAATAGTTCTCTTCTAGGCCTTGCAATCTCAGGTGCCATTACGGTCAAGATTTTAGAACAGTATTCCAGATCGGAGGGAATCCGACCAGATTCTGGGAGATTGTTACTGTGTGTGTATATGTGTGCCATGTGTGCACACACGTACATGTATTTTAAGGTACTAATAAGAGTAGTAGGGGCTACCATTTATTGAGTTCTTACTAAGTGTTGGGCACTGCACGAATTATTGCATTAACCTTAGAATGGTTCTATGAAGTAGGTACTATTATTACCCACATTTTACAGTTCAGAAAACTAAGCCTGTAGCATGCAACCAAAAGGGTAATGACTTCATCTCAGAGGGCAGATCTTGCCATAACCTTCCTAGTACCTAAAAAAGTTTTGCCTAGTGAGAGAAAGGATCTGACTTAGGAAAAGAGGAGCACTGAAGGCATGGGTAGGGTAGGGCAGGGCAGGATTGGGCAAGGCTGGGCTGGGTGAGACAAACTCAGCTCATCACATAGCAGTTTAGTTAGAGAAAAATTAGAACCTTCCCTACATTCCTGGAGTTTGGAGCAGAGGCATATACCCAGGAGAGCAAACACTGGATGACCAGACTTGGGCCTCTGTTACCATGGGGCCACAGGGAACTAAAACAGAGCCTTTCTTTTTTCTCTGCTCCCTGAAAACCAGGAATTCCCTTTTCCAATAGCCCATACAAGAAGCCTGTGGTCAGACACTATTCCCCCTACCAGTCTTGAGCATGCTTCCCTGCCCACCTACCCACCCCTTCTTCACAGCCTTGCTCTGCACTCCCCCACCACCCATAGGCCACCACATAATTCTTCCCAGGTTCCCTTGGGTTCCCCTTTCCCTCATTTCAGGGGCTCTCCCTTACCTTGGACACCTGTAAGGGTTTCCTCTGCTCGGCCCCCCCCTGAAGTCGGAAGCCCCAGGGGGCTCCCCCTGATAGTGTGACCAGCACCTCCTCCTCAGCACCCATCACTCAGCCCGGCCTATGGCCCCTGGAGTTTAGACAGTGTCCCAGAGTCGGAAGCCCCAGGGGGCTCCCCCTGATAGTGTGACCAGCACCTCCTCCTCAGCACCCATCGCTCAGCCCGGCCTATGGCCCCTGGAGTTTAGACAGTGTCCCAGGGAGAGAAGTTGAGGTGCTGGTACCCCGTCCGGCCTGCCTGTCCGGTTGTCCTGCTCTTGCTGCCCTAGGTCTCCCCCTGATACCACACACCACAGGCAGGCGATTTGGCCCTAGGATCAGTACAGTCCAGCACACGTGTCCCGTCAATCGGAGCTGTGCTCAAAATAGTTTAGTTGCCGGCTATACCCCCCTCCTTTCCCCAGCTGTGTTACTCCAAGAGATAATTATAGTACACACTTCTGTCCTCCATGTCCCCCCATCCTTCTCCATGGGCCTTTTTCTCAGGACCGTGAGGACTAGCTCTCTGGGCCCTATAACTAATGTATAGCCCTTCAGGGACTGTGCCTTCCCTGATAGGATCATGGACTAATCCCAACTGTTTTCCTTCAAAGCCCATATCAAAGTGGCAGCAGCAGAGGCTTCGATTCCAGAGCTGACAAGAAATGGCTGGATATGCTGAACAAGCTCCCATGCTCCCAGGAAAGATTGGCCCTGTAGGGAAAGTGAAGGAAAATGGTCAGGGCCCCTCAGATGTTCAGAATCTTGCCGAGCATTTGATATAAATATATGCGTGCGCCCAGGTGTTCCTTGGTTATTGTCTAATGTAATTGCGCATGTGCACCCAGGAGTCCTGGGTTATGGACTTAAGTATAAAGGACTAACAGCTCTGATACATGGTCCTTCTCTGGACGCTCCAGGAGGTCACTAGGGCGGCTGCTCCTAGCTCTGAATAAAGTCTATTAATTTTTTACCCACGGCTCCCAGGATCTTTTCCTATTACCTAGCTTCTGAATCTGTGTGTGAAGGGTTTGTGACCCAGTCTGTACAACGGACTTGAAGGGTCTCTGAGCCCTAGCCCTAGCTTGACAGACCCCTTGCTGTGTGAACTTGACCTGTTAATCGAAATGGAAAACTGTATCCCACTGCAGCCCTGGGATCTGTGTGGAGGAATTCTGATCGGCCATGCTACAGTTAAACTGTTACCTCTTCCATAAAGCCTTTCCTAACCATCTCCCAACTCCCCACCTGTAGAATTAATCCTTCCTTCTTATGGGCAATATATGTCTGTCATTTATATTTCTTTACTTTTTTTTTTAACTTTATTTTATCGATATACAATGTGGTTGATTATTGTGGTCCATTACCGAAACCTCCCTCCCTCCTCCCTCTCCCCCGTCCCACCCAACAATGTCCTTTCTGTTTGCTTGTCATAT